CAGCAGGGAGGTGGGCCAGTGCTCAGCTGTGCTTGGACATATAAAGGGGCATGAAGACTATTATTTTCCAGAAAGTGCTTTCAGTGGTGTATATTTGCTTTATAAGGAGATGGTTTTCAACTCCTTTTTATGTTACAACTCATATGAAGGTTATTACTCATATGAGCAATAGTTACAAAGGTCATATGGGGAGGAAGTGGCTGTATGTTCAGAATAATGCCTCCCTTGAGATATTGATGTTTGTATTTCTCCTTCTTCATACTTCAAAAACATGATTAATCTAAGGAACCTTGACTTGGATCCTTTTGAAAAATAAACAGCTGCCCTCTATATTATTTTTTAAATCCAAATTTTCTTTCTTCTTTCTTGTTCACTTGGACTCCGGTACTGGTGAGATTCCTGGATGAAGGCACACTGTTCCCATTTTTTCCTCCCCTTACTCTGAGAGGAATGAGGACCCTGCAGTGCATGGATGACACAAAGCATCTTGCGGTGGTGTTTCCACCAAGTCTCGCACCCAAATCAGCAAATACTCATTTAGAGCACCTGCCAGGTGGCATCCAGTGAGGCACCGTGGAGTTCTTCCTAACATTTTTCACATCACATCACAGAGCGCAAAGAAAGTGATGGTGGCATCACTGGGTATTTCAAAAGCAATCCAGAGGAGGCCACTCTGAGCAGAAGAATGGCCTGGCCCTGGATGCCCTGCCCTGGTCCCAACCAGCTGCCCACAGTGCCAAGGGAATCAGTATCTCAGGCTCTTGGCCTGAGGTGAAACTTCAGGGAGGAGTAAGATACTCTCATTCATAGGCCTTCAGCAGCTTTAAAATTAGGAGAGGGAGACAGATTGTCCTTAGGTGCAGAATGCTGGGGAGCAAGACAGGAAGCAGGAGTTAACTCTCAGTCCTGGCGGAGATACTGTGTGAAGTGACAGAACGAGATTCTGATAAGTGGAGAAAGTGAAACTGGGGGAGGGTGTGTGCTTGCTGTGTTTGTGATAAGAAGTGTGTCTTTGGAGTGTAGACTAGGAATGAATTTCAGCTCCGCTATTTATTGCTGCTGACAAGTCTTATAACTTTCTGACCTCTGTTTCTTCACTTGTAAAACAGAGATGAATAATACCTGCACTTCAGGATTACAAAGATCACTAGTAATGTCTGGAAAATACCTGGCACACGATTATTTAGATTGTAGATGACATGATTAGTCTCATAAGTAACTGAAGCCATTAGAAGCTTATGAAGCCTCAAAACCACTGGCCCCATTCATGAAGATGATTCTGCTACTTCTCCCCTCTTTTACTTTGTTTTTCATTATGTCTGATTCTAGATACTGCTAATATACAGTCCCCTGTAACTTATGGGGATACAAACTATTTACTATTTAGATCAATGAAACTCACTTTAGAAATCATTCCATCATACCACCCAGCTTGACGAATTTGTTTATTTCTTCTCTGCAAGATTTTATACAGCAGTAAGAAATGTCTCCCTCCATTTCCATTGATTGATTCATTGTGACTTACTGTTGGTTTCACTCTCTCAGTGGCACGTTTCTGCATCATAGTATGGCTTACTTAGTTTCTTATGCTTTTGCAGCAGTGCCGTATTTGTGTCCATGGATATACATTCTTGCACAAATGAGCAAGACACAGTGTGCCCTTAACTAAGAGTCAGTGGGATGATCCTGAGAATCCCTAACGTGGAAGTCAGGACCCCTAATGGGCCCACTGATGTGTCCTGAGCTTTGAGCGAGCGTCATTAAAGCGCACAGCACCTCAGTCCTTTCATTTGTATGATGGAAGAATTAGCCTGGCTGTTGCAAATATAGAATGCAGCCAGTGTAGGATGTTGCAATGCGAGGTAAATAGGATATTTCTGGATTCTCAGAACTTAGCTAAGCCAATGGCATGACATGCCAAGGTTCCCCTTCAAAGACAACAAACGTTATCTGCAAAAATGCTGCTGGAATTTGGCACAAGTGACCAAAGGATATGGTTTAGTTAATGTTTGACAGAGAATATGTGGTGCTGATCTTAAAAGGAGAAGTTTTCTAAAAAATGAGAGTGGTGGGATCAGAAGAAGGAGGTGGTATACACAGTGCCACTGGGGCAACATGGGAAGAGCATGAAGTGAAGTGAGTGACAGGGGACTTAGATTACCTCTTCTGATGGAGGGCAGTGCCCCAACTCATCCAGTATCAGAACTGTCCCTAACAAAGGACAAGTCCTAAGGGGAGGCGCTGAGGGAGATATCTAGAAAGGACTGCATGTGAGGCACTGGGCTCATTTGAGTTTGTGCATGGTGATTAACTCAGTATCTTAAACATGGTCTGTACCTTCCTGGTCAAAGACTAAGGGAACCTCCCCAGTGGCCTAGGTGGCACCGACAATCCTGGCAGCCCTAACTTTAATAGCTATCAGTTCTTCCTCTTCAAGTCCAATTTGTGTGTTGATCATAATACTCACCTTTAATAACGTGTCTTTTAGTTTATTTCTGTGTTTGAACATTTGCAATGTTGCTATGCTCCATATGTAGATAAAGAATATCAATTTCCATTCTTCTGAACAGTTTAGTTGATCTCTGGGCATAGGTTTCTCCTAAACTTCCCCTCTCATGGAAAGACTGAGTGAGTGTGGATGACTTTGCCTAACCCTTCTGTACTAATCAGTAGATACTTCAAAGCCAGTTTATGGTGCATCTTTGAAGAGAAAGGATAATGTTTTTAGGTTGTAAATACTACGAATCTTTATTTAAGACCCAAATTTTGGTTTAAAATATCATCTAAATTGAGCATCACAACAAGATGAGCTTCGTGTGTTTGATTTCCGTGTCCCGTGCTTCCAGAGCACACAGGGCTCCTGACACATTGTGATGATGCTGTGGTCTGTTTGGCAGGGAGGAGGGAACTGAGAACCACAGGGTGCTGCCTCATATCCTACAGAGGGGCGACACCACCCGTGGGGACAGTGCTGGATGGGAAGTCCTGGAAGTTAGGTGTATTGAGGTGAAGGAGATTGAATTCCAAGGCAGCCTGTAGTAGTCAGTTGTAGGGATCAAGTAAATCCTTTAGTCAGGAAGGCAAGAATACCTTCAATCAAATCTGATGGAGATCAAGAGCCAGATGGACGAAGGGGACAGGCATAGGCTGAGGCAAGTTGCTGAAGGCCGAGGTTGTGGTGGGCTCCAAAACAGCCCATTCATGAGGTGCCCAGCAAAAGCTGCCAGAATGGATATAGCAGCCAAAGTAAATTATATTCACCTGCTTGGACAATTTGGGTTCTAGTCCAACTATGTGGCTTTGAGCAAGTCATGTTGTCTATGGTACCTTACTTTACTTGTCTAAAAAATGAAGGGGCCAGACTAACCATTAGTTTGATTTCTGTTTTTTAACTCAATTTTTTAATATTCTTTTTAATATTCTTTGCCTAATAAGATGTGTTTACTAAAACTCATAAACCTATAATAGGGTCACTGCAACATGGTTGCCTATCAGAATCATTCATGGAACTTTTTAAAAAAACACATTTTCAGGCCTACCTGAGATTCTGATTCAGTAGGTTGAAGAAGGGGGAAGATGCTGAACATCCGATTTAAACTTCTCAACAAAATATTTCAATCCCTACTAGGATTCAGAGCAAATCTAACATAGGTTAATGTGTCATTTCTGCATTTTTTTGAAATAGAAAATCCTCAAGGATTCCAAAGGAAGCCTGTGGTCAGAATGATCCATAAGATCCCTTCAGTTCCAAAATTCTAGGTTGAATTTCACCAGTTCTTATCTAGACTGTGGTATCTAAATATTATTCCCCCTAAAAAGGAACAAGGGCCCCTTAGAGATGTTTGATTTAAGACTGATGCTGGGAAATGTACAAGATGAGCCTAGGCTATCATGTTATCCCAGAAGCAACGGAACTGATTAAAGAGACTCCCACTAGGTAAAGATGAGATATTATGAGCATTAATATTAATGATAATATCAATGGATTAATAAGGTAAAATGGGTTTAAGTCTATGAGTTTATAAAGGTATTGAATATATACACACAAAAGTCACTGGTCCCCTGGGAAGGATGCTAGGCAAACAACTCCTTACTTTAAAAACCAGTGACAAAAGAGTCAAAAATTTATCCTTCCTTTCCTGTGTGAACTATAACTTTATGAACCAAATAGAAGATGAGGGAAAATTTCTCTCTATAGGGATATTTCATCCAATAATAAAGTAAAGAATAATAGAATTATAGCTTCACTATGTCACAACTCCTAATGAAATACTGGATCTAAGAAATGCTCACCAATGACTGTTTTCATAAAAAATGGAGAATCTGCTAGATTTTATGTGTTTCCTACTGGAAGATGTTATACCTTCTATGCACCATTCTTTCTAAAAAATCAAACCTGTTTCTGGTAAAAACTCTAAATCTAATGATTAATTTATAGGCAATTAGAGGGTAGAGAAACATGTTAGCATGCATGGGGATGCAATTGACAAAATCCATATTGATGGGAATTCTACAGAATAAACCCTATTGATTAAAAAACATAACAGACACAAACCAGTTACAATATATAAACTCTGTTTGCATCCTTATGAGAGCAGAACAAACTATAAACTATCAGAAAATGGGAAATTTCAACATTGGATATTCGATGGTTAAGGAATTATTTAAAAAATATTTTGGATATAATAGCATTTTGCTTCTTGGCTTTTGTGATATTTCCTATTTTTAAAATAAATGCTTATATATTTTCAGAGTAAAAATATGAAATCTGATATTTGCTTCAAAATAATCCAACATAAGGGAGAGAAGTGGGTACAAATAAAGACAAAATGAGGTTGACCCTGAGTTGGTAATTTTTTAATCTAGATGATAGATACATGGAGGTTTGTTTTATTATTCATTCTACTTATGTATACATTTGCTCTTTTCTATTAAAAAAGCTTAATGGCTATATGTTACATAAAACTTAAATCTAACATTGTTTTCTCTTTTTTTTATAGATGGCAATAAAGAAGTTGAAAAAGTTCACCAACTTGGAGCTAATGCTCAGTGTACTTCTGCTTCTGGTATTCCTCATCACCATTCCTCTATTTGTATTATCAGCTAGAGATTCTTTGGAATCAAAAGGTAACAAACTGCAGTGTTTTCCCTCCATATGTTGCCCTTACCAGAGCAAAACCTCATGAATGGCAGGGAAGTGACAGTTCTGTGGTCAGTGATGTGGTGGCGTGAGCATGTAAGTGTGTGTGTGTGTGTGTGTGTGTGTGTGCGCGTGCGTGTGGCGCGCGGGCTGGGATCACCTAACCAGAACTACAGCAGCTCAGGTATTCACTGTAGGCCTCCGTTCTGACGCTTTCATTTCCCAGTTAGCATGTGCAGGAGTCCACCACTGACCCTTGAAACACATTTTCCAGATTTCGTTGAATTATTCGAATTTTGTTTGTTAAACAATAATAATTAGCAATAGCCTATATGAAAGGCAGTCAAGTAAGCATGTAATCAATGAAGTATTTTATGCCAATATTTAAAAAAATTAACCAGTTATTTTATTAAAAGTTTATTGAACTGTTTTATTGTAAAAGAGGGGTGTCACTGGGCTGAGTCATGTGTGATTTCTTATCTGGTTCCTCTAGGAAGATCCCTAGTTGAGGCGGAGAGGAGCCAGTTGGTGGCCAGGGGAAACCTTTGTCCCTCCTACCTCATTCCCAGCCCTGACACCTTCTCCGTTTGTGGGAAGTTAGATCAAATCACCTCAAAGATTGCTTAACTTTTAAAATGCCATGGTCCTGAACCAAAACCCTTATGTAGAAACTGGCACAAATACAGAGTTCTGTTAATCTACCACTTTTGAGTTGGAAACTGTAGTGAAAAGAAAACTAATTGAAAGCCTCATTGTTTTGTCTTCATGTCATTAGTTACTTATTCCAGGGTGCCTTGAAGAACTCTCGCTTCTTATTTTAGAAGGCATTGAATGTGCCTTTTTTATCTGGCTGGTTTTTAAACCTGAATCAAAGCCCTTGGGCAGATTCTAGCTGCCAGTTTCTACATCACGGCCTCCCTTTATATTTTTTTGTCATATGAGACTTAACATTTACATGATGTCATCATGTAGAAGAGTTCCTTGTTGAGGGATTGCCTGTTGACTGAGCAAGCAGAGTTGAGGTTACTGTGATCAGGGCAGAAACATTCAAGACAGCCGCACAGACTGCACATGTTCTGGGTGCAAGCATGTGAATCAGCGGCTGGGGGTGGAAGTAAAGGACCAGAGCAGGGTCTGCAGACTTTTCTGTAAAGGACCCGTTACTTAATACTTTAGATTTTGCCCAGTCTCTGTGATAACTACTTAATTCTGCCATTGTAGCACAACAGCAGCTATAGACAAATACATTAAAAGATGGGTGTGACTGTGTTCCAGAAATACTTTATTTAAATATCAGGCTCCTAGCTCATTTGGCCCACAGGCTGTAGTTTGCTGAACCCTGGACCAGAGAAGGTAGATTTAGAAGGAGGAAGCTAATAAGTACCAGTTCCTACCTTGGTGAGCTTCCAATCTAATGGTGGAATTAAACTCCTTGCTCCTGTATGCACTGTCTCACAAGACATGATGGAGATGATGCAGGCATACATAGAAGTAAATACAGAAAGACAGCAAGAACAAAATGAGGCTTTATAAAGTGAATGCATACACTTCAAGGACATCAGCACGAAGCCCAATCAGTAGTGGAGTTCATGTATTAGAAAATATTGAGAACTATGATAATCTCGAATGCCTGTGATAGTAAATCTCTCTGATGGTCATTTTATGTTTGCTTTTGGGATAATCCCAGATTCTGGGACAGGTGACACCACTGATTCTGCTAACTGCCCAGTGGTAAATGAACTGGAACGGATAAATTGCATCCCTGACCAGCCACCAACAAAGGTTTGAGTTATGGAGTTTGTTTTCATTTAAGAGTTTATACTGTTAGATAGTTTTTTGTTTGTTTTTGTCTTTGTTTTTGTTTTTGTGTGTTTTCTGTTTGTCACGCCCAGAAAGTTGTTTGCATTGCAGCTATTGGTGGCTCGGGTAGTTAAACTTTCTATTCATACTTATATGGCAGTACAGCTTTGGGAGAGGAAGAGCTGGAAAATTCCCTTGGGTTGGCACATTCAGCAGATAAAGGGTCAGGCTGCCCAGTAAACTTGAACTTCAGATAAATGATGAATAAGCTTTTAGTATAAATATGTCTCATACAAGACTTGGTACTGACTTATACTAAACATGGATTTGTCTTTTATCTGGCAACACTAGTTGGTTACTAGTTCACTGCATCTGTTACTGCCTCTGTTTTCTGCCCTTCCTCTGTCTCTCTCCTTTCACAATTCCGAAAGACTATCTAGGACCTACAATAAAAAGTCATACACATACATAAAACATTATTTAAAATAAGGACAGGGTTTTAAGAGCCATGTTTTAGAAGGAGGAAGCTAATAAGTACCAATTAAAGATATTGCAGGCATCTGGGTATTTACTGTAGGGCAGTGTTTCTTGATATCAGCTGAAGTCCAGCTGAATATCATGATTATAAAGTGTATTGCACGTACCATATCAGCCATGCTTTATGTTGAAAACTAATGAAAACAAAGTGTAGCCTTCTGAATGAAGTCCACGGGCATGAAAGGGGATCTATATCAGGCACAGAAAGAGCACTTGCTGCATGTGATGCTTGGGCACGTGGCACTCTCACATTATCTCTCCAGTTGTTTACTGGCTGGGACAATCTGTGATGTTGAGGGTTGCTATTTTGGTTTGTCTAATGTTTCTAATACCAAAAGAGATTCTTTTCTTTTCTGTTTTTTTCTTTCATGCTTCTGGACCCACAAGTACAAAATCAAGGTGTCAGCGGGCAGGGCTGGTTCTTTCTGAGGGCTCCTAGGAAGATGCTGTTTCATCTTCTAGCTTCTGACAGGCGTCAGTCCTTGACTTTCCTTGGCCTGTAGCAGCCTCTGCCTCTGTCTTATCATGGTGTTGTTTTTCCTGTGTCTGTGTCCAGATTTTCCATTTTTATAAGGACACGGTCACACAGGATTAAGGGTCCACCCTCCTCCAGTATGATGTCATCTTAGCTAATTACATCTGCAACAACGCCCTTCTAAGTAAGAGCACAGTCTGAGGTCCTGAGGACCAGGATGTCAACATGTCTTCTCCGAGGACACAGTTCAGCCCATAATAGGAGCAAAGTCACAGAGAGAGACCCAAGGACAGAGGAAATGGTTATGGCTGAGCCTTCGGCATTGGCTGAAATGGTGCGAACGCAAGTTGGAGAGAACCAAGGTGGCAAAGTGAACACAGCCAGGAGGTCAGCCGTGGCGCAGGGAGGCACCGGGTTGCAGGGGAGCTGGACGTTAGGCAGAGAAGGGAACCAGAGCCAGAGGAGTGGCTCGGAGGAGAGAAGATGCCTACAAACTGCTGGTTGGAGGGGTGTGACAGGACTAAACCAGTCGGGAAGACGAGAGAGGTCCGACCTGTTAGATAGTAAAGGATCCTGAAACGCTTGGGACAGGACAGAGCAGTGCCCTGGCCAGCCGTTAGGGCACTCAGGGTCAGCAGCCTGGACAGCACCTGCTGAGGGAGGCAGGGGTCGCAGGTAAACGGATTTCCCTTACCACCTGGCATCTTACTCTGACTGAAATGAACGTGACCTTCTCTTGTATTAGTGGAGAGAATTGCCAGCTTGGAGTAGGAAAAAACGAGGCTGAAACAGAAAAGGTGGATTTAGATCTAGATCTCGGAAGATTTGGAAAGTCAGGTAGAAGAGGCTGGTTTTGATGTGCTACACAGCAGCTGGGAGCAGCCATTTAAGTCTGAATGAAATCATGTAAAGGGAAAGAAAGAGAGAATAAAAATGAGAAATAAAGGAAAAAGTAGATACAAGGGAAAGAGAAAAACAAAACTACTTCATTATGGAGCCAAATGCCACAGAGTTTAGCCTTGTGGGCGACAGGTTCAGCTCAAGTACATTTTTTTTTTTTTTTGGTCATAGATTCTAGTAGAGGGAAAGCTCAGTAAATAAATAACTGGAATACAAAACAAAAATTCATAAGACATATAAGAAATACTATGGGAATCACAAAACAGAAGAGAATATACTAAGGAGAAGGTGGCAGTCTAGAATTACAAACAAGGGGGAATTTGGCAGAGATGGGAGGCTTGGAAGCTGAACTCAGGGTAGGAGAGGGAGTGTAAACAAAGTGACGCAAGAGGGAACTGGGGGGCACATGCATGATACATGGAGTAGTCCCGTATGGCCAAGCTACAGGGTGGGTGCCCGAGGGAAGCGAATGTGTAAGACTGTAAAGTGGACTGGAGCTTGATGCCAGGGGGCCTGAAAGCATGTGCTGCTTTGTCACTAGGAACGGGAAGTCACGGCCTAGTATGTTCTGCCTACGAGGGCCATTTGGCACACTGGGTTTACAGAAAGTTGATCCATACCCACTTGTTTGCCCCTGCCATAGTGCGCTCAGAAGTCCACCTAGAAGACCTATGCATCCTTAGGCTGTTTATTCCCCGACAATACCCTATTTCATTATTGGCTGTTGGTGCATTTCAGATGTCATTACTACCTCGGTAATGTTCTTTGGTGTTTTATTTTAAGGACTTTTAATAAATACTATGGTGTCAAGATCATAGCTCAATAAATGACCTTTGCCTTTTTCTATGTGTTGTACCCAACTGAATTAATCTATGACCTTAGCATCCACTGATGGGCCTGTTCGTCTTTAGCTCAGCCAGAGAGAAATACTCTGGGAGTTCTTTTAATGATCTGTTTTTCATAGAAGGTGTATCTTAGGTATTTTGTTGCATGTCTTATCTTTTCTGGGTACTATATGCTGATCCAGACTGTTGAGAGACTGAGTCTATGGATAATGATGTATTTATATAATGTACATGTAAGAGGGAAGTATATGGCTGTGTAGAGGAGAGGAGGGAGAATAAATTTTGAATATGATACCAAATTAGGCAGAATGTTCTAGTGTAGAGGCCATTGCTATACCATTTTATCAACCCTATCTCCTCTCCTCCATGATTGCTAATAAAAACTAACAGTGCAAGTTTCCCTTCAGATGATTCTTTTTATAAATCCCATTGTTTCTTACTCCCAATAATAGGAGGGAATCCTGTGTCCAGGACAGGATAAAGAAATCTGTCCAATCCCTCCCCCATCCCCCCATCCCCGAGAACTCTGGGAGACATTTTTGGAGAGAATAAGCTCCAGGAGTCCCTTTCATTGGGTCTCAGAAAAAAAGATGGCTCGGCTACCTAAATCTCTAGTCCCGAGCTTTAGTCTGGGCTTACAGCCATTTGCAAGGCACCTTCACTCGGATGTTTCACTATCACATTGAACTCATCTCCTCCTCACCAAATATGCTTCCTCTTTAAACTATCAGATTTTGGTTAGTAGTTCTTTGTTTCCAGTCTCTGAATCAGAAATGCTAGAACCTTCACCTGGTTCTTCCCTTCAGTCCCTTTGGCCAGTATTTCATGTATTTTAAAATACTTTCCTTAACAGTATTTTCCAGAATAAGCACGTCATTTCCATTCTCCACTGTCACACTGGACCAACGTGACCTTAGGCTTGGATTCTGCAGCTGTCTGCCAGCATCTCCTCTGAATTCCATTTCTTCCCCTTTCTGTTCCATTACATGCTTGTTTGAAACTGCTCTCTTCAATTATCCTACTTTCATTATTTTCTACCCAACTTGAGGACCTACCGCATTCATTACTATATATTGGGTCAAGTTCAAACATTTTGTTCTGTCCTCTAAGACCCTATTTAACCTTCTCTGTGCCTTTATAACTAACCTTAGACAATCCTTCCATGCAGATTTTAGAGATAGCTCTTTTCATTTGTCCCAAATTTATCCATTTTGAAAGAGTGTATCACTTTCCACTTCCTTGGTGAAGCCCTTAAACTCACAACTCCAGAACTCAGAGTTGAAAGATCCAATTGATGGCAGAGAGCAGAAACAGTCAAATTCCAAAAAAAAAAAAAGAAACAGCTCAGGAGGAAGATGGCAAATAATAATTTTAAATTCTTTGATTTTCAGGATTAGAATATATTATATAAACATGAGAGAACATATCTTAAAAGCTTAAAATAAACTTGCATGCCCTAAGTAACTACTGTGGAATGGGTAAACTGAGAACACTTTACAATTAAGTGTTTTCTTTGGCTAATAATAATAATATACTAATGTCAAATATCATCATAAAGATTATCGTTACCATTATTTCTTATTCACAAACTTTGTCATGTTTTATAGCAAACACACTTGGTCCTTATCTTTTATTATTCATTTATTGGCTTGTGATGTATTTTTACAGATTCCAATTTCTTATCAATAAGTGTTTAATGGATTACATTTTATGATACATTAGCAAGTACGCTGCATTTTGTTAAGATAGTTATGACTCTCCACCCTCAAAATTACTCTGTGTTTGCACTGCACTAGTTAAGAGCTACTGTATGTTGCAAAAAAGAGCAGTGAGCTGTAAAGTCCTGCATATAGACCTAAGTTTATGTTTTATGTCTTGAATTGATAGTGGAGCCATTGAGCCACAGCAGGGTAGGGAAGCCAGGGTACCATGTTCTAGTCCTGACTTTCCTTCTGAAGAACTGTGTGACTCAATCACTAAGCCATGTTTCCTTACAGACTGTCAAATCCTCATCAGTGAAATGAGGCAGTGTGCTCAGTAAACTTTTTCATTAGACCAATGCCTACAGAATGTGTGCCAGGAATTGTACTAGAATGCACTTCCCAAGGTTTTAGAATAGTGCCTTCTGAAGTCTGGCAGATGTTCTCTGAATGCACACTGCAGTGTGACCTGGGACTATAAAGTCTGTGCTACAGGGATGGCAGAGGTGGTATGTCCGTTCCAAAGTCTTGGCTGTCGGACCTCACTTTGAGATGGAAGGAAATGACCAAGTTAATTTTTAAAACCAGACTCAAAATGCATACATTATAAAATAGTCTGTGATGAAGGCATTTCACTAAGTTGAGCTTAATTTTACTCATTCGTTCATTTGTCCAAAGTTGCGAACATAAAAATCACTGTAGCTTTTTGATGAATACAAGGTAATTTGAAATTCTTTTATCATTGTGTTTCTCAGTTTCTAAAGTTGCTGCCACTATTTGAATATTCTACTCATTGCTCTTGTACTGAAACTTTTTGGTCTACCTTTTTGTTCACAGTATCAGGTTCTCTTGACATTATAGAAAATAAAGTCTTTTACTACCTATAACATTAGAGAGCAGGAGAAACATAGACACTGGAGACTCTTAAAAGGTGTTTCTATTTAGATTTGGAATCTAATTCTTCTGAATCAGTGCATCCAGTGCTTCCAGGGCCCCTGCAGGTCAGTGACACAGGTCTCTTCTGCTTAGAGCTGGGCAGCTATAAGTCCTTCTGCTTCTTCCCTGCCCACAGTCCCTCCTTGCTGGGTGGAAATACCAGCCTAACAAAAATTGCTGCAAATCCCCTGCTTTCTTAGAGCATAGCCTCTCCATTCATCTACTACTGGGGAAATGAACTACCCCAAAATGAGTGGCTTAAAACAATGGTCATTTTATTATAGGTCATGATTCTACAGGTCGTAGGTTGGGGCTGGGTTGGGCTGGGCTGTTCTCCTCTTCCACATAGTGTTGATCGGGATTACTTGGTGGTATACAGTGGGTGGCTGACTTGGTCTAGAGGGTCCAAGATATCTTTGCTCCCAGGCCTGGCACCTTGGTGAGGGTGCTAGAAGGCAGACCTTACCTGGGCCCGCTCCCTGTCCTGTGGTCTGAGTCCCTCTCTGTGGTCTCTCTAGAGGGTATTCAGACTGCATGCATGGGAGCTTGGGGCTGCAAAGAGATGGGAGGGAAGCTGCTGCACTGTTCTCTCTTGCTCCTATCAGTCAGAGCACAGCCTGTGATTCAACAGGAAGGGCCAGACTCCAGCTCCCAGTGGGCATTGTGTGGCAGACAACTAGTGGCCATTCTTAACAGCTGCAGAGAAATGCTTCCTGTACTCAGAGTAAGCATTAAGCGTAAAGGCTGTGGAGAGCCACAGGACAATATTGCACGGAGCAGGCTGGGGTGCACAGGGCTAGAAGAGCCAGCATGGGGACAGGAGGTCGGCAGGGCTGAAAGAGCCAGGCCCAGCATAGACAGGAAGGCCCCCATTCCTTCCAGGGGCAGGCGAGGGCCGGTGCTGCTGACTCACTCAGGCCAGCTCTCGCGGCACCTGCCATCCTTGTTGTCCCCCGTTGGCACTGGCCTTGCAACTTTGCCTTCTCTTTTATCTAAATGCTACAGTTGCTGAGGTTCTGATTTTTTTTTAATCTTAGATCTGTTGCTTTCTAATGACCTAATGATGCTGACATTCCAAGGCATGTGTAATCTTATCAGTAAATTATTTTCAACTCACGTTGTGGAAAGGCATGTGCAATTATTTCTGAGGAAGTTTCTGGTTAATTTCTCCCTTTACCAATGCTTTTTGGTACATAGGGCAGTGATTTCTCTTTTTCATACTGAAATATTTGAGAGAGAGAGGGTCTGTGGCAGGTAACTTTGGACTCCTGCAGTCCTCCTTGACCCATTACTCTCATCGGCACACCCAGGGCTGGAGGTCTCCCTTCCTTTTGTCCTTTAATAGCTGTGAGTCATGGATTATCCTTTAGTGGTCTCCATTTCCACCTAACGCCTTCCTGTTTGCTTCTCTTTTTTGCTATTCTTACATTACAGTTGCATTTATCTCATGGTATTGATTTTCTAGAGCAGTGGTTCTGAACATTGACTGCACATTAGAATCACATGGAGAGCTTTTAAAAGCCATTCACGCCGAGGCTCCACCCCAGAGATTCTGACTTAATTCTTCCTGAGTGAAGCCAGGCATGGCTATATTTTAAATATTTGCCATGTACAGCAAGGATGGACAATTATTGTTCCAGAACAGTGGTTGTGAAATACTGGATCCATTAGTTGTAAGTCACTAGTCTAGCCCAGACTCAGGAGAAGTTTCTTTGTACTTCTCTGTGTTTAACCTGGTTGCTTCTCCTGAATTAGTTGGTGTGAGAAGGAGATTGTATTCTGTTCTTTAGTCTACACTTGGTTCAGTCATTAGTTGTGATATAAGGTAACTACCTTTTGTAAATAAGAGCTGGAATCTTTGGATTTCAAAGAACAATTACTTTCTGCCTTGGGAGTTGAAAGACATATATTATCTATGTAAGCATGTCACATATATATAACACACATAATAAGCATATTTAAATGTCAAAGAAAAACTGATTTGATTTGAGAACTTTTGAATAACGTTGATTGCAAAGTCTTTTTTTAAAGCCAAAATCAATATAAATGAAGCTTCGTTTGTAATTCTGAGTTACTGGTGACATAACTATATTATAATTAAGAATACTTAAATAAGTTTATCGGTTTTATTGTCATGACAGATATGGACTGCGTTGCAATTACTATATTGTTATATAACAACAATAACAAGGAAGGACATTGGCTAGAAAAAACTGGTTTTGAATTGCAGCTCTGCATTGACTAGGATACAACACAATTGCTCCAAATATTAATTCTCTTATTTGTAAGATGAGGTTAATGATGCTACAAGCTCAAATTACATTTATAAATGATAGTATTTGATGAATGATTGTAGTTACTTTCATTCATCTCTTATTTCAGGCCACATGTGACCAGCGCGGCTGCTGCTGGAATCCTCAGGGAACCATCAGTGTGCCCTGGTGCTTCTATTCTGAGAGTCATGGTTATCAAATGGAGAGTGACCTTGTAAACACAAATACAGGTAAGCAAGACCATGAGGCGGACATGCTGGACCCTCTGGAGGCTGGCTGTGTTCGGTCCAGAGGGGAGCCTTAGAGGCAGGCAGGGCATTGGTCTGCCCGGCCACCCTGCTACATGTGGCAGAAGGTGGGCACTGCTCTCAAGCAAGGACTAGAATCTGTTTTGGCATCAAGGAAAACGTCACTGGTGCTCTTGGGGGTTCAATTCCAACTTGATAAATATTTTATGAAAGTCAGCCAGTCAGTGTCAGTGTTCCTGGACTAAGCATCTTCTCTTCTTTCTCCAACCCTAAAATGAGAAGTATAATCATGAACATTCTGGGGGATAACAGAAGGTGACCACTTTGGGGAGGCTCTTAGCATAGAGGAAAAGGCATATTTCCAGTCCAGCAGGAAACTGGAGCCTCAACTCTCACCTGGCTCATCACGTAGGGAGGGAGATGGCATCAATGTATATGATGACCTGTAATGTAACATGAAAATACCTGAGAAGGAATAGTGTGTATATACAATTTGAGGGCTGAGAGGGTAAAGGGTATGGGGGTTAACACGGAATGGTTGATGGGCTGGTGGAATGAGAGTCAGGCGATCTGGGGGAAGTTTTCAGTCAGATTTTGTAGAAGAGAGGCATCATTTTTTGATAAGGTGATTTCATTGCCTAGCTTCAGAATCTGGCCCAAGGGAGTATGTATATATGATGTGGTATCTATCTCCTCCCTTCTTTAGAAATAAGGGCTTTTTCCCAGCTCCTTTGACATAAAGCTTAATTTTTACGTGACTATGGTTTGTGAAGTTCCACAGCCAGTTTTTCCCTCTGCATACCAGGATTCACAGCCCAGTTGAAAAGGTCGCCTTCTCCATCCCGGTTTGGAAATGATATCAACAATGTCGTCCTCACAGCAGAGTACCAGACGGCTAATCGTTTCCACTTCAAGGTTGTGTTTGTTTATTCTTTAAAGCCTTTTTGAGGGGTTCTGGTTCCCTACCTCATGGCTGCAGCTACTACAAAATGAAAAATTTTGCTGATGGAGGTATTTTTCTCTACTGTCGTTGTTCCTGTTCAGCACCTGCATGTTGAAGGCATCTATAGCCTGCCTTTAGTGTGGTAGCTTCCTAAACCTGGGTTGCAGAGTTGACTGGTGAGCCTTGGCTTGCATTTGGTTGCCCCTGATAACCATATGAAATGCAGTTAGGAAGAAGCAAACAAGAATCATCATGGCTTTGAAAATTCTAAAGATTGTCCCTCTCTGCAGACTTACACTATATATTTCTACCTACACACTAGCTCATACCCAACTGTGAAACATTTGAATTTGGTAGCATAGAGCATGTATTCCGACCTCAAACATACTGCCTTTTGGAGCAGTGCCCTAGTTCCAGTACTGTGAGCACTGCTGCTGGGAAGCACTGGTGTTGGTAGGGGTGCTTCTGTTTGGAAAAACGGGGACTTTCTTTCCCTTCATGTTCTGGACAGTTAACTGACCGGAACAAGGACAGGTATGAAGTGCCTCATGAACACGTGCAACCCTTCAAAGGAAATGCTGCTTCTCCCCTGACCTATGTGGCTGAGGTTTCTAAGCAGCCATTTGGCATCAAAGTGATCAGAAGAAGCAACGGTCATGTGCTGTAAGTTTTGAAAACCCATCTGGGGATCAATCAGAGCAGGAAGGTTCTAGGGACGGGAGGTTTGCAAGCCCGAGGAAGGGTGCATTTCAACAGTATTCCTGGAGGTCCTGAGCCCACTGTTGCTGACCAGATTCTGTACCTCCAAGTGTTTACTTTTCTCTGCCTGCCTTCCTCTTTTTACCTCCTCCTTCTTCTTTTTCTCCTTTTTTTGCTATTACCAAGCATTTGTTATAGCCTGGGACTTTTTCCCTTTTGTCCTGTATGATCAGTTCTCCTCTTTATTTTTCCCTTTCTTTCCCCCATCCATCTAACCAACCATCCACTGGTAACATCCACATGGGACATCTACTATAAAGTAAGAATACTGTTTGGGTCATGTGGCACAATGTCTAGGGGACAGATCTAAGAAATGTGCCATGTGGTACCTGCCCTTAAAAAGTCCCGATCTCTTCATATCCGTGGAAAAATGTTACAGGAGGGCAAACAGGGCCAACTAAATAGGATGTATCGAGTCATTGAAATATGTAGAACACTTTTTGAAGCAGTTGTGTTTTCACCACTCCACTTGCCCACCTGTCCCTGCGTTTTCCGTCGGCGTCTAGGTTTGACTCAAGCATTGGGCCCCTCATCTTGGCTGAGCAGTTCTTGCAGCTCTCCATCCGACTGCCTAGTGCGAACGTGTACGGTCTGGGAGAACATGTGCACCAGCAGTACCGGCATGATATGAACTGGAAGACTTGGCCCATATTTACCAGGGACACAACCCCCAACGGGGTAAGCTCTCAGGATGGGCAGCTCCCTGGCTGTCGAGCCTCCCTTGAAGGTCACTCCTAGCAGCAGCAGCAGAGCGCAGTGGTTACAAGGAAGATTCAGGGGTTGGGGGGCTGCCTAGGTATGGATTCTAGCACTGCTACTTACTAGTTACCTGGGCAAGTTACCTGTCTGTGTCTTCAGTTCCTTGTCTAGAAAATGAGGGTAATACACTTACTTCATAGAGTTCTAATAGGAATATAATGAAGTCATATATATGTAAAGTCCCTAGAAAGTGTCTGCCACATAGAAAGTGCTCAATAAATGCCAACTACTTTTCATGTTATTTTCTGTTTGCATTAACTAGTTGTGGAGAAAACATTACTCTGCACAAAATATTGGTTACAATCTTGGTATTTTGGATTGACCTTTATGAATCACCAACTTAGCAGTTTTGTCAGCAAAATAGGATAAAATACTAACTCAAACCTTTGTGTGAAGAATGAAGAATGTTTAGGGCTGTGAAAGAATAGAAGGAATAGAGTTCTGTTGTTTTTACTGTTTTATTTATTGTTTATTTATTTCATTTTGTTGGACTGCTAAAACCCAAAGCAGAGTTGCTTCTAGATTCTGTAGCACTGCACACAGATCTTGTGTAACAGCTTTCCTGATAAGAAGAAACTAGTGGCTGCATGAAAGGGGTTCATAGGAACAATTTATTGACTATATGTATATATAAAATCTCTATTTACCAAAACTCTGAAAAAATAAGTATAACTTACTCCACTTAACAGATGAGGAAACCGAGGCTCAGAAAACCAAATAAGTAGCCCAGTATTAAAAAAATTAGAAGTTTGTAAGTAACAGAGATACGAGGTACACTCTAATCTCTGGTGTAACACAAAACCCATGCTCCTTCCTGTACCATATGCTCATCAGAGAGACAGAAAATATGTTGAGTCAGAGCAGATCACCTGGGAATGGTTACTGAGGGTTGTTTAATAAGGAGCCTCAGATCCCTGCTACATGAACAGGTGACAAATGTGGGCTCTTAGCTCCTCCTTCCATCTACTGAATTCAAATCTGCAGCTAACTAAGATTCTTATGTAATCCGCATGCACACCAATTTTTGAGAAATGCTATTCTAGAGCAGTGATTTCAAACATAACTACTCATTGGAATCACCTAGGAATTTAATAAAATATCAGTGCCTGCTTTCACCCTCAGGAATTTAGTTTAACTGGGCTGGCATGCAGCCCAGGTTGAGAACTATTGTTCTAAAGACTGAAGGACCAGATATTTCAAGTAGAGTTCCATTCAGTTGCGCCTTAGCTTGATGGAGCTTCTGCAGATGGGGTTAGGTGAAGCCTCTGTGAGAGAAGAGCTTTTCTGAACTACAGTCTCAAACTTGTTGTTCTCCCACATCCTAACAGATGCCTCAAACTCTCCCATTCCCACAAGACAAATAGTCGTAACTGGCTCATCCAGTAAGAGAATACTAATAGATATTCTATTTTAAGAGCAATAATGTGTCACATGATTAACTCACATGATTAACATTGATCTCTTAAGTCATTTCTAGCTATGTGGGGTTTAGATTGTAAAATTGTAAATTTTGGGTTTTAATTATTTTTCTGCAGGATGGAACGAACTTGTATGGCGCTCAGACATTCTTCCTGTGTCTTGAAGATACAAGTGGATTGTCCTTTGGGGTGTTTCTGATGAACAGCAATGCCATGGGTAAAGGACTAATTTAATACCATGGAAACAAAGCATAGCAGATTTTCAGTCCCTTTCTCACTGTGATAAAGCAATAGCTGAGTACAGCTTAGGGTCTTGTGTGTTCTCTGATTGTCCCATCTCACCCTCATTGCCTGTGGATCCATGGTAGGGTTAACATGGTTGGTCCATGAGTAGGGGTTTCCCACCTAGCTTCTGATTTTCCTGAATCTATTTGCCTCTGTTGGAATATTTCCTATTACAGAGTTAAGACAGCCAACTTCCGTATAATCTACTCAAAGGCAATTTCTACCAATTTGTTCTTCTCCTTGCTCAGACTTGCATCCAGTAGAGGGTTCCAATAAGTTCTGGTAGGAAACAGGCAGTTGCTATGGACTTGCTGACCACAGTAGCTGGGCAGAAGCAGGTAGCTACAACCAATCAGTGGCTGTTATATTCAGGTGCTTCAAAGGTAGCAAGGTTAAGTGGGGTGGCAAGTGTCGTGCAGAGTAAGATTACGTTATTTAAGACCAGACATAAGACCAATTATAGGAGTCCAGAGGTACATACTGTACCTAGTTTTGAAGGCTTTAGATTAGATCAGAGATTCTCACCTTTTTTTCCTGCTCGCACACATAGTGGTAGATCCCAGTGGCAATGGATCAATTGTCACAGGGAAAGAGAAGATATATTAGAATCTCCCAGGGTTGATGGTGGGCATAGATATTGATTCCCACCCTCTTCCAAGTGAGAATCAATGGACTAGATCAATGCTACTCAAAGCATGGCCCATGGATGATTCACAAACTGTTTCAGAGCTATAGTAAGATGAATATAGAAATTTAAATAAACACTTTAATTAAAATAAAAATTTAAATAAAATTTGTTGCATTCAAATGTTTGATGAAATCTTTTTCTAGTAATTCATTATGTTATTTTATAAAATATCAGCTTGCAAAAAAATGGAATTTAGAAGCTAAAAATCTGATCCTTCACCACAGATTGTTTGAGAATCACTCTAGGTGATGTGATCTAAGATGATTCTAAGATGACCTAATAGACTTTTCAATGATTCAGAAATGACTAATGGCCTAAGAAAAGATGGATAACCCAAGGATTGTATACTTTCAGGTAGTTGGAAAGAACCAGAAAACAAGTGAAGTCAGGTTTAAAGGTAAAGGTCTCAGGATCCTAGATATTCTGAGTTGCTCTTATGACCAAAGAGTACATTTCAGTAGATCTTGGGGTCTTTGATCACTAAATGCAAACCATGGCTATGGGGAGACTTCAGCTTTGAGCACTGTGAATGGGGCTTAGAAGGACTTTGAATTTATAGTATAAGCTCTGACTTTTTAGTCGGGCTCTTGCTTGAAGTGAGATGCATTGAGCAGGTACTGCAGTGTATCCAGTTCTGTTATATTCCTACAGTAATGATGTGGTGTGGGGTGAAAACAGCATTCTGTAGTTAGGAATGTCAGAGAAGAAAAGTTTTTCCTCTACCCTCATAGCTCCAGTATTTGAGGGCCTGGGAGTCAAACTGACAAAAGACAGGTTAGCAAGAGAAATAAACAGAGCTCATTTACACATGCAGCATGCATACCCACAAGAGTGCTCAGTGAAGAGTAACTCAAAGGGGTGATTAGAATTTGGGTGACCTCATCCTAAGAGGTCAAGAGGCAGAGGAGAAAGGCATTCATGATAAAACAAATGACTGCTTAGAAGAATGGGCACTTAGGGGAAAACAAAAGACTTTTTGGAAAGAAAGATGAGCCCATAGGAGAGTCTCTGGGAAATGATATTTTTGTGTTGGTGTTTGTTTTGGCGTGGCGCCAGCCTGTCATCTCAGTGAAGGACTTGAGTTGCTCTGACCTTCCCTGAGTAATGGCGCTGTGTCTCGTAATTTCTCTCCATGACTTCTTCTCATTATCTAAGGCTCTACAATCATCATGATCTAGGGTTATCTAGCGTTCTAAATCATAAATCCCCTCTCCATAGGGTATTTCAGAAACTCAAATGTCTTTAGCTTAAAATAATTTCTATGCCACAATAGCTTATTCTGGACCCCTTCCTGAAACTGGTTGCTTTTTCCTGACAGCCTGGGTCCTGACACACGAGTTAAGACGCTCCCAAAACCAATTATCAAAACTCGTCACAAAATCAAGACTTTGAGTCTCATGAGGGTGGACTTTGGTCATCAGAGTCTGTCCCTTTGCATACAAAATCTGGGTCATTAGGATCACTTTGTTAATGTTCAGATGATTGGTGATCCTCTGGTGGGAAACTTTGTAATTATCAATCTGGAATAAACTCTAATTTTTATTTTCTTCATTTTTAATCATTCAAGAGGTTGCCCTCCAGCCCACCCCAGCTGTCACCTACCGCACCACTGGGGGTGTTCTCGACTTCTATGTGTTCTTAGGAAACACTCCAGAGCAAGTTGTTCAAGAATATCTAGAGGTAAATTTGTGATATCATGATTATGGCTAAGGGACTACTAAAGAGCAATAAGAAAAGTAAATTTAATATGCAAGTGTGACTTAATAAAAGTCTGCTATTACAAATGGGCCCTACCCTTAATGATTTTTAAAGGGTCTAGGGAAAAAGACTAACATTCTAACAATAATAAAATAGTGTGTGAAAAATAGAATGTGTTTTGTGTCCCCAGGCCAATGCTCAGAAATCGTTATTAAAAATGGATATTTGTTAATTTCAATGTCACATATTTCTTTCAGCTCATTGGACGGCCAGCCCTGCCCTCGTACTGGGCGCTCGGCTTTCATCTCAGTCGTTATGATTATGGATCCCTGGAGAACATGAGAGGAGTCGTGGAGAGAAATCGTGCAGCCCAGCTCCCTTACGTAAGCGAGGCTTTCAAAAATCCTCCAAAAATAAAATAAGAACAACTTTTTACACTTTGTCCCCTGAGTTTCTTCTAAATATAATAAAAAGATTTTTGTATATTCAGAAAGTTTGACTTTTTTGTTGAGCCAGCCTTTCCCTTAAGGAATTGGTTCTTTTTAGTGGGAAATAATATTCAGTGATCATTAACTGTGGGACTTAGGAGACAATCTGTTCGTATCTCTGTTTTTCTTATCATATGTTTTATTAGTAAAATTTCTAGTGCACACTGTATTCACTATGTTTTACATGATGTGTTTTTATTTGAGTTCTCAAAACATTTCTTTCCCTCATTTGAAAGAGCAAAAGGATTCAGTACATACATGTAATACAATATCTTATGTTCTGAGTATGTCTATGATATAATAGAGAGTGGGGTTTTACAAGAGATGTAAAGAGAAAAGCCCAGTAGTCTCCAGAATTATCCTCTTCTGCCTACAACCCCATCCCCTTGGAGGCAGACATATAGGTCTTAGAGCCAGATTCAGTTTCATTCTGATCCAATATTTTCATACAAGTAAAATTAGGAAAGAATAAATGCCAGAGGAAATTTGAAGTAGAAGGGGAACACCAAAACGAAATGGGGGATAGTAAGCCAGAGAAAAGCTGGAGAGACAGCACCCTCTCCCCTTTGTCTTGTGGCTGGAGAAGGATTTGGGTAATGGATGTTTTTGATATCCTTGGGGGGATATATTATAATTGCGGTTTGTTTGTTAGATTGGTTTTTCATGCTAGAAATCCAGACAACAAGGTAGGATGAAGCAGTTAACCTGATTCCAGGGGTGGGGTCCACCTTGGAAAATAATGGGTCATTTGGTTTTGAAATTACTCTGGGAGAAGAAGCACTTAGATGCCAGGGGCTGATGAAGAACTTTAGGGCCCAGCACAGACTCAGTGTGTCTCATGACTAATAACAGTAATAATTGGACTGACTCATTTTAACAGGGCAATTTATTCCCAGCACTAAATTGTGGACTTTGTGATTTCTTTCAGGACGTGCAGCATGCTGATATTGATTATATGGATGAGAGGAAGGACTTCACTTATGACCCAGTGCATTTTAAAGGCTTCCCTGAGTTCGCCAGGGAGCTGCACAATAACGGACAGAGACTGGTCCTCATTGTGGTATGTGGCATCGTTGTTTTCCCCCAAATCACTACTTGCCCTGCCGTGTCATTCCACTCATGTCCCCCTCTTTTGTCTCCCACTTCCAAGCCCCTTTTCGTGCCTCTGGCTTAAAGCTAGGTTCTTCGCTGTATGTTTTTCTGTCTTAGGATCCAGCTATCTCCAATAACTCTTCCTCAAGTAAGCCCTACGGCCCATATGACCGGGGTTCCACTATGAAGATATGGGTGAATGCTGCAGATGGAGTGACCCCAGTCACTGGGGAGGTGAGCTAATGGGGAAACCAGGGGCTGGCAGAGGAGCTGTGGCAGCATGTGTGTGTATGTAAATTGCTTTGTTTTACATTTTCCGATGCCTTATGTACACTGGGGATAACTTTCCCTTGTCCTTCATCCCCAGAAACCTACCAGCTATCCTAGCTCACACATTCCCTTCACAGCCAAGTCCCTTTAAAGAGTAGCCAACACGCAGAGTGTCCACTGCCTCCCCTCCCGGAAGCTCTTTGACCGCAGTCCGCTCCCCATCTCATCCCCGGCACTGTGCTGAAAGGGCACCGGTTACCTCCTAATTGCCGGATCCGACAGGACTGTTCGTTCCTCATCTCACTTGACTTCTCTGTAGTGTCTGACAGGTTGGACTACATCCTTCTCATACTATTATTTGTCCATGTTGTCCATGTCTGTTATCTGCTGGCCCACTTCTAACACCTCTGCTGAGCCGACGAGTCCTGGCGTCTGAGAGGAAGCAGATAGGAGAGGACAGGAGAGTAACTGAAGCTGAGAACCCACAAGTTGTAGTGAAGCAGTTGAATTTCTAGGTATTCTCTCATTTGCCATTCCTGGAACTGGGAGCAGAGAGAGGGAGAGGGAATGGCGAAACAGAGTTGAAGATTAGCAAGCTGAACAACGGCTGTATCCGTGGACTTTTTCATTTAGGATTCAACCTTTTTTTGCCTGGTTTTGGTATTAGGGTGATGTTGGCTTCATAGAATGAGTATTTGGGAGTATTTGGGAGTATTTGGGAGTATTCCCTCCTCTTCTATTTTTTGGAAAACTTTAAGGAGAATGGGTATTATGTCTTCTCTGTATGTCTGATAAAATTCCGAGGTAAATCCATCTGGCCCCGGGGTCTTGTTCTTGGGTAGTTTTTTGATTACCGCTTCGATTTCTTTGCTGGTAATTGGTTTGTTTAGATTTTGTGTTTCTTCCTTGGTCAGTCTTGAAAGGTTGTATTTTTCTAGGAAGTTGTCCATTTCTTCTAGGTTTTCCAGCTTCTTAGCATATAGGTTTTCATAGTAGTCTCTAATAATTCTTTGTATTTCTGTTGGGT